AAGACATTTTGTAATATATAATTGGACAATTAATAACTCACTAACCATTAACATTCTTGCATGATGTTCATACGTGGTTTGTATTAAGAGTTATGGACATATGCTGGAATCATGGTTAAGGTGTGTTTAAAGTAGGCATGTATGGGGAAATTGGTAAAAAAGTCTGCCCTAGACAAAGGAATGTGTTTGCTTCTTTGACCAGCCTGGTTGACAGGCAAAAACAATGAAGGTCAATGTACATATTAGGTAAACTAAGCTACCAAGCAGGAATGAGGAGAAACTTTATCAGGACTATAAAGACAGGGGGTCTGAACCTCAAATGATAAGCAATTGAATCAACTGATTGTAACAATATTACTGTTTTATAAAAGTACAAGTGAAGTGTTTTATGAAAGCCTATGAGACACTGGTGACTAATATCATTGTGAACTGTAGGTATTAAACTATATAAGGAATTAAGGATACTCATTGATATTATAATTTACAGTCTGTGACCAAACAAAGGGAGAAACAGGTTTTATCCAGGTAGGAAGGAAGACAGCTATCTACTTGTCTCCAAAGAAATTAGGTAAGGTGTGACTAAAACCAATGGAAGCCCCACTTACATAGAAATCATCAGAGGGATTGGTAGTCTGTAGGAAGGGAAGAATAGATAAAGTCATCCTGCTTCTTGAAACAAGGTAATTGGATGTTGGAAGATATAAGCCATCTTTGGCATCTGTCACTAGACAGACACAAGGGGTCAGAGCTCTTGCAAGCTGAGAAAGGTGGGTCCTTCAACCAATGGGGATTGAAGTCTCTGGGAACTGAACACAGGTAAGAAACCTACTTAGGCAAAGACAAGGGAAGCCAGCACCTTGTACTTCTGTGGAAGGTCTAGACAGAGAGAAAGTCAGCCATGGCTGGAAAGAAGGAAGACTGGTGAGAAAAAAAATCTTGAACAAAGCATGTATCTTGCTAGATTAAGTTTTAGACTTTTGGATGCATGTTTTCACTCTATTTGCTTGTAACTATTTCTAACTTTATCTCGTGTACTTAAACTTTATCTTCCTTTCTTAATAAATTTATTTTACTTTTTTAATCTAACCGAACACTGAGTTTAATTTAAAGTGAATGTTAACTCCAGCTGCTGGGTTTTGTCTCTTTAAAGGAGAAAACACACCTTATTATTCCTCTAAATATTGCAGGAGAGAGGTGGATGTTGCAGAGCACAGGATTTGGGACTGTGGATGCATTGAGATCATCTGCTAACATTAACCAAGTCTGGTAAAGACAAGAGTGTGTCTGTAATCATTGCTGGCATGCTGTTGGATACAAAGTGATTGAATCAGAACTGTACCTTATACAGAACATGAAGTGCCTGCTGGCTGCTGGCTGTGTCCCCTCCCCCAGGCAGGAAGCCACAAGTAGCAGAAGCATTTTGGGGGCATTCAGGGTTATAATACAAGTGGTGGCATGACCTCTGGCTGGTCTGAATTAAACCCCAGAATGTGACAGTCCCCCTGTTTTTTCTTTTATTTTCAGATTTACTGTTGTCAAAGAACATCATCATTTAGGTGTACGTGAAAGGAAGTTGGGTCTTAACTAAAGCTCATATGCTGCCACTCTCAGGTGAGTAAAAGCATTGGATGGTGAAAACCCAGTGGAAAGCTCTCTGTATTCTAAATTCTTCTTAAAGGGATTTCAAATGGAGCTGCAAGCATGTAATTGACTAGAATTTGACCCTGTGAGTTTAAACTTTCAAAGCCAGATCCTCAGCTGGTAAAAATTAATTTACATGATTAAGAATCTGGTCCGCCACCATACAGAGTCCCTGTCTTCATGATGCTCTCTATACTGACTCCCACTCCTCCCTGGCAGCCTGGCTCCCTAAGAACCCACTGCCACTGTCTGACCCCTTGCACCTGTCCTCTAATCCTTCTTAATGGTCTATAGAGTGAAGAAGGAGAGATACTGCAGCAGTAAATACTGAGTGAATTTCCAATTAAAAATAAAGTCAGCACGTTGTGTGGCAGAGACAACTCAAAATTAGCCATTTAAACTATTCAAAGAGGGCTCACATGTTGGGACTTACAGTGGTTTCTGTTTATATCCCCCAAAGCTGTTTTGTTTTTGTTTTTTGAATCAGAGATAGGGCAGGGACAGTGTCCTCAAGAATGGATAAAAGAAAGGGCTGTCCTTTCCAGATATGGAAACTTCTGTTACATGAAAGCGATTATAATAGCCAAAATCCCAGATTGGATTCTAAGCCTCAACGCTAGTTGTTCTGATGTGTTCTTCAAAAGAAAGGAAGAGAGAAAGGATTCCTTGTTTTGTTTTTTCTCTAATGCCTTTGTCCAGGGAAAAGAAAGAAAATGCAGGCCATCACTGTTCCCAAGGGATTGGTTATACTATATATTGGGGAAACCAACTAGATAAATGGATATAAAGATAAAATGTTCTGTCTAGAAGGTCTGAGTTGTTGAACTGCTCTTGTGGTTTCCACCTCAAGAAGATAGGAATCCATTTTTGTTAATTAGGCATTGTGTGGTGAATAAGTCATATCTATGATTCTAAACTTTTGCAGGTGATAGCCAAGGTGAACATGGACGTTAAGAGATCCACAATCCTCCCCACAAAATCACAGAGCTTGTTTGTAACAAAGGAAGGGGGGGGGGAGAATCTTTCAGGCAGAGAGTATTTAATGCGAGTAAAGGACCTTCCCCAAAACCCTCAGCAACTTGGGCAAACAGACATTCAAAGCTTAAAATAAACCAGCTAAAGGTTTGAAGCTTTCCCCTTCAAGGTATGGAGAGCAGTTTTTCCTTCTTCAAGCAGCATATCAGCCATCAATGAAACTGTTCTGTTTTATATACTCTTCAGTCAAATAGCTGCAACTGCTCTGCCCCCTTTCCTTGTGCTCCTGAGGGGAATTTCTTGGGGTTCAAACTCCGTCTTTGAAATACTCTCTTAGGTCTCAACCCTGCAAACACTGCTACTTTTAAGTGACTTTCCATATATGAACAGTCCTGTTGAGTTCAGTGAGACTGCTCCCACATGGCAAGTTACATTCATAAGTGTTTGCAAGAAGCACCTTATTCCTTAAAGAGCACATGGCAAAGTCTAGAATTCACACATGGCACTTTCTCTTCTTTCCTAACTTTTTTTCCCTTCCTTTTTAATGTTTTTTTCCACTTCATATTATATCTTAGGTTTTTCAACACATCAATATGGTACAAATATGACAACCTTTATGTAACATACGTGTGAAATGAATTCCTTTTAAATCCTTACTCCTACTCTGTATATTTGGTGAAGTTCATTTTCAATAAAAAAAATTTAAAATGACTTCAGTAAAAGAACTCTTTTATTCTGAGCTTTATCATAAAATAGCACAATATTAAATCTTCTTGCCTATAACAAAGGCCAGTACCTCTTTTGCTAGACACAATACCTATTAATTAATTTGGATTCCCAATTCTTCATTGTGCCTTCCACATATATATTTTAAAAGGAAGAAGCCTCTCCTATGGTTACCTTTAGGAAGAGGAGGATAAGCAATAGCTTTGTTTTTTTGCAGGTAAAACACTGGGTTAAACTTTTCAGAAGAAGGAGTAAATTAATTGCTGCTGTGTGACAGGTGAAAGGCCAAAACAAAAGTTCCATTACTGCCTGCAGTAACAAACCCTGCTGTACTGACATGGAATACAAAAGGTCTAAGGCAATACATTATTTTTCTATTCTTACAGTAGTCAGTTCGTAACTCTAAGGTTTTGTGTTCTCCCGCAGAGAAACTGTGAATGCCACTATTTTTCACATCCTAATTTCTAACCCATTACATTCAATACAATAGACTCTGTTCTCACCTGAGGCTGACACTGATCCAGGATTTCCCGAGAATGTCTAGGAATCAGCTTCCAGTTCCAGGAGAAAATTAATCAACTATTCCAAAATCTAGGAATATGGCAACACTCCATTTTGTGGGCCCTGTTGCCACCTCAACAACTGAAACCTGTACGACTCCTGACCTTCCACTCACAGTGGGACATGTCCATAGCTGGCATGAATCCGCATAGCTCCGTTGTCTTCAATGCAGGTTCACTAATTTACATCAGCTGGGGATCTGGCCACATGTGTCTGCCCAATGGCTTAATAAAAAAAAAATCTGACATTCTCCAAAATTCATGTGTTGGGCGAAGATAAGAATAGGATCCATTTACTGCAGAGGTACAAAACCTGAATTGCTATCGCCATCTTCAGTGATTTTCTAGTTGCCTTATATAACCAAATATATAGTCAATATTTCCCCAGGTATTTAATACCATAAATATACTGAAGGATGAGAATTACTTAGATAACAACATTTTTATAGTTACTTTGATGTTTGTGTGTAAGATATCTGGGAAAGATTTTTATTTTATGTTTTTCAGGAGGGCAAACGTACTTCTTCTAGAACAATAGTTCTCAACCTTTTCCATACTGTGAATTCATGTTGCAACACACACAGATTTGGAAATCACCCCCCACCCATCTTTATTCCCCTTTCCATCTTGCCACAAAAAAAGAGAACATTGTTGTGATCTCTCTGAGTCCTGATTCTAGAGATCATGACCCCCCAGGTTGAGATCCCATGCCCCAAAAACCTCTTGACAATTTTAATGAAAATCAATGCAGTGGGGAGAAGAGATTCTTAGTGTGTCCATTTGTGAGTCCCACATACAGGGAATAAAATAGAGGAGAATGGAAAGAGCAGGGAAGAAATTATCAGTATTGAACACTAGTTGTACATTATTGCTCATCGGCTTCTGAGAGTTGCCATAAGTCTACATTGATTTTCTTGATCTAGGAATGGAATTCCTAACAGTCAATAATCCTAATGCTAGACTATTATATTTCGGATAAAATTGTATGCTTTTTTCATATATACACAATAAAGGATATATATTTTCCAAGGACGAGTCAGTTTATTCAAAGGAGTGCTCTGCATGACCTAGTGCTTGAGTTTTAGGCCAGTGACTTACCCAAATGTTTCCATCCTGGTGATATGGCTTCCAGTTTCTCCCTGTATCACTATAGAGCATCCGGTATTGAGTCACCCAATCGGAGCTGCTGTATCTGCCTTGCGTTGCAATAGCACTGATTTGTTTCCTGCTCCCAAAATCCACCTGCAGCCACTGATAATGGTCACTATCTGATGGAGACCAGCCTCCAGCCCCTGTTGAGTTGAAACAAGAGAGACAATCAGACATCTTAATCCAGACGGCTTTTGAAGTGAAGACATTGAAAAGATGCTAGTTGCTGCATATAAGCAGAGAACAACGTAACAGTAACACAATTAAAGCATATACAAAAGAAATATTATGAGACCTAAAAAAAACCCTGTCACCTCTTTTATATATGCCACAGGGAAACTCAATTTCTTTCAAGCTGTTTCAGATTGATACTATAACCTTTTTATGATGTAGTTATATGATGTAAAGAGATACCCTACAAATGAGACTATCTTTATAATTCCTTAATTAGAATTTATTAGTATGTGTCAAACTTTAATTGTTTAGAGTTGACCAATTTTCCATGACATCCTTTGTCAGAGTCAGCTGACGCAAATCAGTGACAATCTGTTGATTCCTTATACCCTTTAAATGCTATTTCAAATGAAAAAAGATGATACAAATTAATTGGGAGGGAATAATAGCATGCATCTCTAATTTCCTTCCTTGCCAGTCCAGCATTTCACTGAAATGCGCAGACCTCAAAGAATATCCATCAGCAGTAGTTAAAAAGGAAAGGTATTGCAGAAATGGCTCTGATTTTGATTTGCTGGGTGTACAGGATGTCATAGAGTGCATTAACTGATGCTTGAAAAATGTATTATCGCTCTTTATGGGGCTATGAATTAACTTGATAGTAATATTATTAGCAATATTCTTTTCAGTCACTAGACTGTGTTGAACTGTTCTTAATAAACAAGGACAATGGTGCATAGATAAAAGTGAGTGTCAAGGCATTAAGGCAAGTTCTTACTCTACTAAAGCACAAAATATTAGAGGGGAAAATAGCAGTTAGTTACACACAGGGTTATAAAAGACATTCAGATTGTGGCGTAATGTGCTACACTGAGAAAGTGATGGGTTTTTTGCCAAATTATATCAATAATTGTAAGTATTACATTGGAAAAAAAGCAGAGAATAATTATATTTATACTCAAATGTGAGAGTACTATGCAGAAAAAATCTGCAAAGATTTAAAATGACTCCAAGGATTTGGTCCAAATACATTGCCAGGATCTGGCAGGCACTATGTGATAGTGCAAAACCATTTAGTTTATCATGTGATAACTTCTGTTACTTCTTTCCATTGGTAGGATTAAATTTACACCTCAGTCCTTCTTGGCAGCCCCTAGGTTACCTTCTGATCAATCAGCTGGCTTTATTAAATAAAGCAAACAAACCCCACCAACACTACCACAAAGAACTATGGTCACATGCACATATAGGCAAGATGGTTTTCCATGGGAATCAAAGCCAGAACTTCCATCAGCAGTACCACAGGGCAACTACCAGAGAGAGCCTTTAGTGTGGAGAAAGGAGGCAGTTGAAGAGCCACTGAGACCAACCAGTGGTGGAAGTCAAAGTCACAAAGACTTGGCCTTTTTCAGCACATGCTTCACTTTCTGTATCTAAATTGTTGAGGTGATGATTCCTTCATTGCACACAAGCTATGGGTGCATGTTGATACCATATTAGCTGTAGTTATCTAGTATAGGAGTGATATAGTGAACTGTGTGTACATGGCTGTGATCCTAAGAGCACCGCAGCACCAGCACCAATGTTCCCTCTAATTTTTGACAGGCCGTGTGCCCAAAAAAATTCTTCTGTGCAAATTGTTGTGCTTCTGTGCAAATGTGTGTGTGTGCGGTGTTTCGCCGTGTGCGTGGGGTTTAGGATCTGCTTGCGCGTGCACCTGCACGCAGCTTAGAGGGAACAGTGGCTGGCACGCTGTTGTCATAATACTGAAAGGGTGGCATGTGATATACCATCAGAAAACTAATAACTCACTGATCGTTAATATTCTTGCTTGATATAGGTATGGTAAACCCATAAAGGACTTTATATGTACTGGGAATATGCTCTTAAAATGTACTTGGCAAGCAGTGTCTAAGCCATGCCTGACAAAGAATGTGATTCTGCCTGCTTGAGTGTGTGTCTGATGTAAATTAAGCAAGGTGTAATCAAAGACAAAGGAAAGCAAGTGGGGAAAGATGACTGCATGCCCAGAAAGCCTTCCTTTCTCTTGAAGCAGGGTCAAAGAACTTCAGGAAGAAATAAGCAAAGAAAAAGAGCCATTTTGGCTTCTATCACTTTGAGGTACTAAGGGGTCCAGAGCTCATGAAATCACAGAAAAATGGATCCTTCAACCCAAGGGGGTTCTCTGAGTATAGGTGAAAAACCTGCTTATGAAAAGACTGTAACTTGCTGAAATAAAGTTTTTGTCTTTTTAGAAGCATACTTTTTTACTTTTATTTGCTTGTGATCCTTTCTATCTTTATTCCTTAACCTTGGTATCACTTAATCCTATTAATTTTTGTTTAATAAACTTGTTTTACTTTTACCACAAACCACTTCAGTGCTTGTTTAAAATATAGTGTTTGTTAACCCCCCTTAAGGTAATAAACTACTGGGTACTGTCTCTTTGAGGGAACTTAATTTCTGTAAGTGTTCAGTGAGAGGGCTGGACACTACAGGACAAACGGTTTGGGGGAAATTCAGGACTGGGGACTGCTGGGGTCACCTTGCAAAAAGGAACTTGCACCTAGAGTTAAAGGGTAGATGTTGACACGACCCCTTCCAGGTCTGGGTTGAACCTAAAAGCATCACAATGGCTTGAAATTTTCAAAGGGTGTTATAGATAAATACCATCATGACCAGGGGGTTAGTTTAGTACTCATTTACATGCATAGTATAACGTGGAATTTAAAGTAATTATTAAAAGCATCTATGGTAATATTTATTCATACTCACACACACAATCAGATTTACTAGACTTTTCACAGAAAAATGAATAAGGCAGGACAAAACAGAATATACCCCCTTTATTTCCCCTTTGCACTGGTTTTGAGTGACTAGGTACATTTATGTGTGGATCTAGTAGATTAGCCCCTCCAGTCAATCAATGCCAATATCCCTTTCCAGGTTGGTACATCTGAAGGTGACGGCACACAATGATAAAAAGGTGTCCATGTGAAGGTACTCTGACCACTAGCTTCCTGACCCACTGTAGACAGGGTGTGAGGGGCATAAACAGTACTAAATAGATGCCTTTTAAACCAGTTGCAGTCTTTAAATCACAGAGTGTAAAACTATACAGAGGTTTCGCAGCAAATGAAATCTGATTGGTTTCTATTATTTCTTTTCCTTTTTAATTTTTTAAATTGTATTTAGAATATATCTAATGTTTAGGATTGAACTCTCTGGAGAAACAATCATTTTATCCATAGAGGAGTATAATATAGAGAGGAACAACAATTAGATTTTCCCCATAATATCCCTACAATGAATTATTTCTGAAGTGCACAATAGCACAAGGTACTACAAGGTATTACACATTATTTAGATTGTAAATATATATTTTGATTATATATATATTACCCCAACTTATATATATAATATAAGTTGGGGTAATAGCGCCACCTAGTTGATCTATGGGTTGTCTATTAATTATATTGATTATTTAAGAATTCTCAGTTAACACTCTGAGGTTTGATAGGTTCTTGTCGCAAGATCAGGCACAGTATTACTAAAATTACTGTTCAACTACGAACCCTGATGAACACGATTGCAAACACTCACACTTAAGAAAAAAAATTGGTATTTGTAATAGTTTTAGTAATACAGTTAGCAAAGTTACAAACACTGCAACCCACCAAGGTGTTAGAGATATTACAGAATGTGCATCTACGCATTCATATACTCACACTGTCCCTTGCACAACAACTTGAAACATTAGTCATAATCTTCTTTGTCATCATCATCTTCCTCATCACCATCGCCAGTGGTTATCATCCGGATGTCTCCCAATAGGTACATCAACCAGCCTGGGATTCAGTTTTTATAATGTGTTATACTGACACCATTATGCCTAATGCATATTAAGTCGGGGTTTCATCCCCTTTATTTTTATTTCTTCATATTGGGGTGCCCTTTTCCCATAGGTTACTCATCCACGTACATCAAGCTTATTAGCATATATAACACATAAAAATGGGTCATACTGGGTCAGACCAAAGGTCCATCCAGCCCAGTATCCTGTCTACCAACAGTGGCCAATGCCAGGTGCCCTAGAGGGAGTGAACCTAACACGTAATAATCTCTCTCCTGCCATCCATCTCCACCCTTTGACAAACAGAGGCTAGGGACACCATTCCTTACCCATCCTGGCTAATAGCCATTAATGGACTTAACCTCCATGAATTTATGCAGTTCTCTTTTAAACCCCGTTATAGTCCTAGCCTTCACAACCTCTTCCGGCAAGGAGTTCCAGTGGTTGACTGTGCGCTGAGTGAAGAACAACTTCCTTTTATTTGTTTTAAACCTGCTGCCCATTAATTTCATTTGGTGGCCCCTAGTTCTTATATTATGGGAACAAGTAAATAACTTTTCCTTATTTGCTTTCTCCACACCACTCTGATTTTATAGACCTCTATCATATCCCCCCTTAGTCTCCTCTTTTCCAAGCTGAAAAGTCCTAGCCTCTTTAATCTCTCCTCATATGGGAGATTCCTTTCCAAACGTTCCAAACCCCTAATCATTTTAGTTGCCCTTTTCTGAAAATGCCAGTATATCTTTTTTGAGATGAGGGGACCACATCTGTAAGCAGTATTCAAGATGTGGGCGTACCATGGATTTAGATAAGGGCAATAAGATATTCTCTGTCTTATTCTCTATCCCTTTTTTAATGATTTCTAACATCCCATTTGCTTTTTGGACTGCCGCTGTACACTGCGTGGACGTCTTCGGAGAACTATCCACGATGACTCCAAGATCTTTCTCCTGATTAGTTGTAGCTAAATTAGCCCCCCCACCGTATTGTATGTATAGTTGAGGTTATTTTTTCCAATGTGCATTACTTTACATTTATCCATATTAAATTTCATTTGCCATTTTGTTGCCCAATCACTTAGTTTTGTGACATCTTTTTGAAGTTCTTCACAGTCTG